ATTTCTGTCTTAATATCTTCTCTATAACTATTCCCCCGGTCACTGAAAGACACATAGCTTATTTTATGAGTACAGGCCTTGATAACAGGTAAGAAGCTCACAGGAAAAAGAAACATCACAACTAAATGGGAATGTAATGGAACCAAACAGGATGAAATATCACCATTACATATTAGTCCAAAAAAGTAGTTTGTACCAAGCAAAGCCTTCTTTTCTGTTTTGACAATAAGATCAACATGTGAAGATAACACAGAGATGAACTAATAAATCCTTTATTTACCTAACTAAAAGGACAGGTCATGGATTTTACTTGCTTTAAATACTTAAAATACTATTAATTACATATTGCCTATTGGCAAATCCTCAAATAAACTATACTATTCTTTCTTAATGTGGAGGGTTTTTTTTTTTCAGTTGATACAGGAAGGGACAAAGATGTCAAAGAAGCAAAACTTCCAGACATGTAAGCAGATAAGAAAAAATATTTTTTTCTTATTTAAATCACAAAAGCTCATAAAAAGAAAAAAAAAAAAAAAAAAAAAAAAAAAAAAAAAAAAAAAAAAAAAAAAAAAAAAAAAAAAAAAAAAAAAAAAATCTATGACCAAAACCAGCAAACCGTTTTTAAGCATTAACGATGTTAAAATAATTTGATATAACTGTAGGTAAAAGATAACCGAGTTCATGTCCACAAAAACTCACAACTGTAAAACATGCTTAGGGCGAACTTTGAGAATTTATTTTTAGATGAATACGTGGTTCATTTGTAAGAAACTAGAAACCCTATAGTTTCAAATTTATGCACAAAATATATGACTTATTCTTAACATTCAAGAGGCAGGCATTTAGTGTTCTGGGTATATAGAATAGCAATTCCCCTGTAATTTTTTATTTTGTTTTGATCTCCAATTTCTCTTGGAAAGCACTTCAACTATTTTTCACTCTCTAGTCTCTATGTTAACTGGCAATAAAAGGTAAAAAAACTGAATATCTTCAAGGATACTGAAGTTGGTCTGTAAAAGGTAATTTTAGCTTTGTTCAAGGTAAGTCAAGGTGATATAAAAGCATTTATCTGTGAAGAGAGCTCAATTATCAATATTTTAAGTGGGGACTAGAAGGTTCTGTTTCCTGGTTCAAATGTACTATCTTTACTATAGGCTGCTAATACAGGTACCCATAATAGGTCTTTACACTCAGCTTCTGATTTGTTAGTATATGCTTTAAGAAATTTATTTTAAGTTTGCTTTATCCTCAAGAGGTATACTTTTTAAGGAAAGTGTTAATTATGCTCCACATTAAATGACTTTACAATGAATCAATTACTTGAAAAGTTCTTTTAAAAATTGCTGAGGCCCAGGCACAGCAGTTCATGCATGTAATCCCAGCATTATTGGAGGGCTGAGGAGGAAGGGGTTGAAACCAGAAGTTCGAGACCAGACTAAGTAGCAAAGCAAGATCCTGTCTCTACAAAAAATAAAAAAAAATAGCAGCTGGGCATGGTGGTGTACTTGTGTAGTCCCAGCTACTCAGAAGCGTGAGGCAGGAGGATCACTTGACCCAGGAGTTTGAGGTTGCAGTAGGTCATGACTGCACCACTCCATTCCATCCTGGGCGACAGTGAGACTGTCTCCAAAAAAAAAAAAAAAATTGCTGATGAAACAAACAAGAAACAAAGGAAAGCCTGAAACCGAGAGAAGAAAGGCATGGTCAGGAAATTTCCCCCAGTTACTGTTTTTTCTTTTCTTTTTGTAGGAGATATACGCCACTATTCAACCTTTACTATAAGATTGGCAGCCCTAAGAATTCCTTTTAATATATGGCATGTTTTTAATATCTATATGTATTCCTGCTCCCAAAAGAATGAAGAACAGACATTTCCACATACAGCTCAATCACTTTTTAAACCATATTTACTTTTATCATTGCTTGGATGTATGTAGTGACTGAATGGTACATATTTCTAGTTATAAGAATAAAGGAAGGTAGGCTAGGTGCAAGGCTCATGCCTATAATCCCAGCACTTTGGGAGGCCAAGGCGGGCGGATAATCCAGGGTTGAGAGTTCGAGACCAGCCTGCCCAACATGGAGAAACCCTGTCTTTGCTAAAAATACAACATTAGCTGGGCATGGGGGCTTATGCCTGTAATCCCAGCTACTTGAGAGGCTGAGGCAGGAGAATCGCTTGAACCTGGAAGGTNAAAAAAAAAAAAAAAAAAAGAGAATACAGAAAGGTATTTATTTATGAAAATAAGTAGTTTTCTTGGAAGAGACCTTTAAAGTCAATCTCCTTGGACATCAGAAGGTTTCTCAATGAAATATTTCTCTTATGAGAGCTTATGAACTTTGTAAATTCTTCAAAGCTTAGGTACTAATTTTTCATGGCAGTGCCCTTTTCCAATTACTCCATACATTGAGACATCAGAGTTACTGTTAAATGGGTCATTAAAATGACAGATCACGTCCTTACAACTGACTAAGTCCTGAGTGTAAATTAGGTGCTTTGGGATATGCACACTCTCTTTTGAATTGCTAAGGTGATATTACTGCACTGAAGCACCAGTAATAAGTTTACAAACTCTAGTCAAAATAGGAGTCTGGAGGTTAAAAACTGAAGGTGTTTGCCAGTATTGACAGAGTGTTCTTAGTAGCTGCCTTCAGAATGCCACATTTCTAATTTGGGGCTAACTAGCTTAAATAAATGTTGGTATCTATGTTTTGTTTCCACTAAAACACTTGAGAGAAAATGTTTCACTTAAATTTAAGTAACACCAAGGATAAGAAAATTCACATGGAAAACACCCTATTTTCCTCTTAAAAAAAAAAAAACCCTACTTTGCTTTTTACTCTATTTTCAAATATAAGAGATCCTTCTAAATCTTTCTTAAATACTGTCACCTAACACCCTCAAAATTTAGAAATCCATGAATATTTTTGAGTGGTACTGTACACAAAGCATTGTACTACTCTATTCATCCAAATCATGTGCTATTAATTGATATAATTTCTTAGTTCTTATCTTGCTGAATTTGACTGGTTTAGGTCAACAGAACATGACCAAGGAAATACCTACTTTAGAAATGCAACTTTGATCTTCTCAAGGTCATTATAAATGTTATTTTTTAAAAAAACCTTTGGGTAAATAAAATGTGTTCATAAAATATTATACATCTTGCAGGAACCAAATAGGACACACTCAAACAGGTAAAATCTGCCTTTACCTCAACACAAATTCACTTTGAAATTAGTTCTGCAGTCTACACTTCAAACACAGAAGCTGGTTTCACTTGTTATCAGATTATAAACACAATGCTTACATTGTCAAAGAACTCATTTTCTCTAAAATCTGATTTTGTCCTTTAAAGAAATGCTCATGTATTGAGTTTAGTCTTATGCCATATTTAAAGAGTTAAAGCTCAAAATATCTCAGAGCCGGAAGTTTTGAAAGGCCAAAGGTGAAACTAAAGTGGAAATGTAGCACACATCCACTCCTGTCTATCTTTTATTTTTGTGCACCCTGCTTATAACATAAGAAAAGAGATTCTTGGTGGATACAGAAAAAAGAAAACAGTATTTTTGTGTTTTGGAAACAGATCATTTCATTCTTCAAAAGAATTAGCAGCAATATTTTATGTGGGTTAAAAAAGAACACCAGTTTCTCTTTTGAAATGTCAGTTGTAAATGGTAGGTAACTACTAAATTCGTTTTCATACAAACACTTAAATTTTTTGATCAAGTTCTAAATCTTTTGGAATTACAAAAAGGCAACAGTACCAACTAGAAGATTCTTGAATTTTGGGCTATACTATGCCAACCATATAATATACTACTTTGTCTAGAAGGGTAATTTATTTTTTAACTTACTGCTTCTGAATTATCTTCTTTTTTTCACTTGAAATGATAAGTAGGAAAGTGACTAAAGAGTCTTGTATCACATAAATATTCTCCTGCAGATTTTTGTTCTGTTAGCTTTTATCTTTATGCTTCCCATCTCAAATTCAAATATATCCTGATTGAAGTAAACCCTATCCAAACAACATACATATTCAACAATAGCAAGTTCTATTACAGGGAAACTTCTTTTATACTGAGGCCTAAACTTGAAGAAGATTTAAACTTATACATGATATGAAGTAGGTCCTTGATGCACGGAATAGTCTCCAATTTACCTCTAATTTAAAGTAGTGAGAGACATTTGAAACTGGAGAAGGTCTCAGCATTGATCATTACCTTAACACTGACTGGCAGTGAGGTTTCTCAGTATCTGGCCAACACAAACAAACAATCCGTTGTATGCAGAAATGCTGCAAAGTTTCAAGCCACAAACTTACACTGAGTTTTTTTGAATGACACTGAATTGGGGTATCTACTTTTCTGTTCTTTGATTAGCAAACGTTTTCTTTTTGTTGTTGTTGTTAAATGTAGAAGAAATCGCTCCCTTCAGGGAAATGGAGTTGGGGTGCTCCACTACAAGCCTACACTGCAATGTTATGTTGGAATGAGGCACTGAAATTCTTCGCTGATATCCCAGATACTGCTGCCTACTCTGTGCCTACCTGTCTCTTTTGAGGAACGCTTTCCTTACGTCTAACAGGTATGATACATTAGTGCTTGAAATAAACGGTATCTTTTCTTGTAGGAAAACTGTTCCCCTGCAATTGTTTCTCTGAAAGGAGGAATATACGATGATGGAAAAATGTGATTCATTTTATAAAAACATATTTATAAACAACTTTTTAGGAACATAGCTCTTTTGCTAAGGTAAGAACATCTGTATTTACAACACAGATCTGAAACACCTACATGTTTTTCTGTATAACAGAGCATGTTTCTCTTGGCTGACACAATGTTTTATCTTCATATTTGAACCAGAATTTATAAATAGGTCATTCTTGGTATCTTAGAAGAACATGCAGGCATTAGTTTTGTTTTAGGAAAAACAGTGAAGTGTACAGCATAAAATATCATGCTAGTCTTTTCACTTTTTCACATGTACACAAAGTTACCATCTGAAGTCTTCCTTAATTCAGTTTTCAGTTTCTCCTGGTCTTCTACTAGTTTTTTATTTTCTGCTTCCAAAACACGTTCTTCATTATTACCATGGCTTTTCAAAATCTATTGCAAAAGAGAGATATAGGAAGAAATAAGCTTGGATTGCAATAGCCATTCTTACAGAAAATGAGCTGAGTGACCTATCTAAAATTACTGGCCTATAATTTATTCCTTGTCCTTTTCAGAATTTTATAGTTTTCTACAATGTACTTTTGCTAACAGAAACTTAATATTTGGCAAACACATAAAAAAGATTTCTTTTTATTATGGCTAAAATCTCTAAAATGAAAATAAAAAGAATTTCTAGTTGCTATGACTAAAATTATGTTTTCAAAAGTATTTAGATAAATAATGTCTTTCTTTGTCAATTAACTGAGAAATGTAAATCTAAGGGAAAAAAACAGTTCTGAGGATGATATTAATTAGAAAACCCTTATGTTCTGATTGCAGAGCTGTCTACTCAGCCCGTTTTTATACAGATATATTTGTAAGAGAAGAGTATATCAGAGTGGAGATGGGTAAGCGGAAAATGACAAGCCCATTTCTATAGCTGGAAAATTATAATTTTCATTGAACAGTTTCCAAATTACTTTTATTCTGTTAATCTTTTGTAATACTCTTTATATTTTAAAATTGCTTCTGGCTTTAAAAATGTTAATGTCTATACCTTATCTTTTCTAGGTAACAAAAATAAAGACCCAAATAGTAAAACGACTGATCAAAATAAAAATATCATGGAGTAAAAATTTCATAATCTGTATTGTGAACAGAAACTATAATTACCATCAGAACTAAGAAGCTGACTTAAAGAAGTGATAAAGAATTTAAATTACCAAGAAGGACAAAGTGTTTGAAAAACAGAATATGTATACTGGTGTGGGTCAGTAGACCAAATAAAGAGGTAGCAACCTTTTTTTTTTTTTTTTAATTAGAAACAGCATCTCACTCTCTCACCCAGGCTGGAGTACAGTGGGGCAACCCATAGCCACTTAAGCCTTGACCTCCTGGGCTTAAGTGATCCTCCCATCTCAGCCTCCTGAATAGATGAGACTACAGGCATCTGTCACCACACCAGGATAATTAAAATGTGTGCATGTGCGTGCGTGTGAGTGTGTGTGTGTGTGTGTGTGTAGTAGGGATCTTGCTATATTACCCAGGCTGGTCTTGAATTCCTGGCCTCAAGCAATCCTGCCGCCTCAGTCTCCAAAAGTGCTGAGATTACAGGCATGAGCCCTGCACCTGGCCAGTGGCAGCAACTTGATAATGACAGGTTTTATAGTCAAGTAAAAAAGGAACTCAGGAGAATTTTAAACAGACTGACATAAGAGAGGCATTTCTACTGCAGGGTGATTTATTTTCTAATGTAAGCCAATATAGTTAACAAAACTCACAAAGTTCTACTGAGCAATGACTACATTCAAATATTTTACAATGCAAGGTGCTATTAAGAGATAAAAAATGTGAGAGAAACATGATCTTTACTTTCGAGTAGTAGAAAGGATGAGATGAGCATAAAAACTGTAGCACAAGACCAAATACAGTACTACTGTGCTACATAAAGAGAGATTAGGCAGGTCAGAAGGAGGAATTAAAGCTCGATTGCATATATCATATAATCCCAAGGACTATTTTTTGGAGATAGGAAGATTGAAGTACATTCTGAAACTAAAGGAGTCCCATATCTTCGCAAATTAAAAAAAAAGTTTTTTCTTTTTTCTAAAGAGCAGAAGAAAAAAAATTCTCTAACTCTTTTAATTTGTTGCCTACTTCAAGTTGAAAACAACTCCAGCTATCACTTCACTGAATTCAGTTCATAAAATCTCCAGTGATTACCCAAATTAAAAGAGAATCATTGAGTTGCAGGAATGTTTTCGCTGACTACTTGAATTTTCATGCCATTGACTTGGAAAAGTTGGATTTGTGTTAGTCTTGTAAATAAGCTTTCAGTACTGCACTGTAAACTTGCCTAAATTTATGATGTATAGCCTGATGCTGGAGAAAGACCAAGAGGGCTGAAATCTGAAATTTAATGACTACCAGCTACAACAATGCAAGTGTTCATTGTCTTATCTATCTTATCCCACCTTGGTAAGTTAAATCAGGGCAAAGTAAAGCTCTATTACTTGAAGTAGTAAAATTAAAAGTTAATTGGTCTTTCATAATTAATTCATTACTTTAACTACATATAAGAACTTTATAAAGGGGTCATAGGTACCACGTGGAAATTGTTTTACTAGACAGCATAGGAGTTGAGGGCACAAAATCATGGAGTTATGAATGTGGATTCTAGAGTCAAGCTGCTTGGGTTCAAATTTTAGTTCTGTCATGTATTAGCTGAATTATTTTGTGCAAGTCACTTAACCTTTCTGTGCCTCTGTTTCCTCATCTATAAAATGCAGATAATTACAATACGAAACTCATGGGGCTGTTGTGAAAATTAACAGTTAAAAACCTTACTGTGAAGCATCTAAAGCAATACCTGGCACAGTATTAACTATTATTTATATCTAAGGAACTTTGAGGCCCATAACATAGGTGATTTGTGCTAGGTCACACATTGGAACTAGTACCTAAGTCTCTTGAATCTCAAGGTAATCCCAGTTTCCACTGGATAATATGTTTCTGATAGAGAATGAAGAGGTATGGCTGGGTGTGGTGACACATGCCTATAATCCCAGCACTTTTAGAGGCCAAGATGGGAAAACTGCTTGAGGCTAAAGGTTTGAGATCAGTCTGGGGAGAGATGGAGGGAGGGAGGTAAGGAAAGAGAGGAAAGAAAGGAAGGAAAACAAAGAAAGGAAGGAAAAAAAAAACAAAGGGGGTGTTTTCACAAGCTTATCTTTCCTTAACTAATTTTTCAAAACCAACATGAGTACCTTGAAATAGAAGTTATATTGTATATTCTCACTTGTGGCCTTTATTGGTCACTTTATTGGTCAATTAATTATACTTTGGGCACTGACAGCTGCTTTGATGTCCAGCTCACAAACTTTCTCCCCACTGTATACTGGCTTTAACCCAGCATACCTGTACCTCCTCTGATAATCTAGAACCACTGATTGGGTCACAGCTATGCAGGAAGCAGTGAATCTGAACAGCATAGAACCAAAGGAGAGGAAAAAAAACACAAAAAAGAATAAATTTTGCAGGGTCAAGGAACTGGTAAGTTTCCTTGAATGGGTAACTGGCTCTGAAAACAATCCCAAGAGAAAAGTTGCAAAAGTATTTTGAGGAAGGAGTTTTTTTTTTTTTTTTTTTTTTTTAATTATAATTAAACTATATTAACTGAGAAAAATAATACTTTCCATTTTCTTGGCGCTAAATAATAAGAGGAAAACAACTGAAGTGGAAAAAAGCAGTGTTCTGATGGTTACAAATCATTACTCCAAAATGATGTGTATAATTTTAAATTAAGATATGTACATGATCAGTTGTTCTACAAATACAAGGCTGTCTGCTTTCGAGTTTAGCTATCGCATAGCAAAGCTTTGATGACTGTGTTTTTGTTTTTACCACTGTGAAATGAGATCAAAGAACAGAAAATAGAGGAATAACGTTAAAGATGTTAAATATTATATGCAATTATGAATCTAGCATAAATGATATTTCTCTGCTTTATAGAAACCAATCATTTAAAAGAAAACTAAAATCTAGGCTTAAAAATACTTTAACTGAAAAAGAAATGGAAACAGAGTTATAAAGACTTGCTTTAGATTATAAAGTAAACTAAGGGTAATGAAGGAATTAAAATTCATATTCCTAGGATACTATTTTCTTTATAAATCATAGAAAATAGGTCCAATGGTATTAATCCACTATGGAGAAAAAGAAAATCTAAATAATAGTAAAAATATTAGTGGGAACAAGCAAGTCTAAAGAATAGTAAAACTATTCTTGAAACAATTATTACCTAAAATATTGTTAATTATTGTCATTTTCTGCTTATAAATTATAAAAATACCTTTTTGATGCTGAAAACAGATATATTTCTCCTTGGGAACACCAACAACATTTAATTTTTACAAAGAAAACTAAATACCCGTTTTAGTTTTTCATTTTCTTCCAAAAATTTTTTGGCAGCCTTGTTAGTATTTTCTGCTTGAGTTTTAAGTACACCTTTGTTTGACAGTTCTTTTGCCAGTTGAGTAATAAGCGTAACCAGACGTCTCAACACTCTAAGAAAAACAAACAAACAAACAAACAAACAAACAGAATAATGTATTAGTAGACCAATCATCAGAAACCTATTTTAAAACAGTCATTGCCAAATGACTCCCCAGGTATAGGTGTGGTGGATGCAGATGGTGGTTAGAACACATTATTATTTTTTTTGAATTCAACTCTCTTAGTAAAAGCAGGCCCATGTTTCATTCCTTTGGAATCTTTGTTAGAAAACCAGCATTTGGAATAAAGGTTCAGTGGTACTTATTTTTTTCCTGTAGAAGGCTTTAACTTAGAGGAGCAGAAACAGGAAAATTTCAGACAGTGTGGCAGAGCCAGTAAGAAAATTCTTTTTTTGGCCCAGTTCAAATTCTGCTATTTAAGGAACAGTGTATAAGGTCAACCAAGCCGAAGAACTGCTCATTCACATCTGTTTATGGGTAACTGCCATTGTTAGAAGTAGTGACTATGATCTTCAATTATGCACCCAGCAGACATTCAATTACTGAAGAACTGCTAAGTGTCAAGACACTCTGCTAGGCACCGAAGACACAGCGGAAAACAGTAGGGTCCATGTCCTCAGGGGTTTAGCTACTATTTGGGGAAGCAAAAGTTAAAACAGTATTGAATTACAACCATGAATGACACTAGAAAATGAAATATATATATTCTTTGAGCACCTATAAGAGAAGACCTACCTACTTTGAGGGTAGTGATGGCCACAGAAGGCTCCTTTGAGAAAGAGGCTAATGGATGAATAACAGCCAGGAAATGAGGGAAGAAAAGTGTTCTGGCAAAAGGAATAGCTTGTGTAAAGACCATAAAATAGGAAAGAGTTAGGTACACTACAGAACTCAATCAATATTTGTTGCAAGATTGAATGAATGAATAAATGGTGAAGGTCAGTAAGGGTGGAATGCATTGTACACATCAGAAACACATATGAGACAAGGCTCCACAGAGAGATGGGGGCCTGATCATTCAAGGCCTTATGGGCTTGGCAAACCTACAAGCTGTTAACTACTGTTCATTCTTTGGGTATTTTATCTGAGTTCTTTTACAAAGATGTTATTTACAAATCTACAGTAGGCTGGGTACAGTTACTTGTGCCTGTAATCTCAGTACTTTGGGATGCTGCGGTGGACAGACCACTTGAGGCCAAGAGTTGGAGACCAGTTTGGGCAACAAAGTGAGACCCCATCTCTACAAAAAATTTAAAAATTAGCCCTACATGGTGGTGTGCACCTGTAGTCCTAGAAACTTGAGAGGCTGAAGAGGGAGGATCGCTTGAACCCGGGAGTTTAAAGTTACAGTGAGCTATGATGGCACCACTGCACTGCAGCCTCGGCAACAGAGCAAAAGGTTGTCTCTCTTAAAAAAAAATCTATAGTAAAGGTGGACAAAATGAGAAAGTGAAGCAAAATCATGTTTTTAAATTGTGCTCCTACTATTATTTTTTTTTTTACTTACAGCCAAAAAAATAGAGAAAATCCAGAAATGTAAAGATTTCTTTGAGACCTAAAAAGTTTCATCTGTGTGTGTTCATATGCATCAGGTCTGCTGGTAGAACTCTTCTCAATGGTATGAACTGAGGAATATTTCCTTACTTCTCGCACAGCATCTATTACAGAAGAAAATAAAACATTACTTTTGGCTTTTAAGAATGTAAACTTGTTAAAAATGGAAAGCAGTTTCAGAATAACTGGCCAAACTTTTAAATAATGGACTTCAGGTAGAGGTGATGTTTTGCATTCCCTCTACAGTACCTGGGAAGTTTTCAAGCTCAAAGTAAGTGCTCTGTAAATGGACGCTAGTAGCATATTTTGAATTACTATAGCATTTTAAAAATTATTCATCTAGTACTTGCCATCATTTTATTGTTTCTCATCTCTAACTATACTGCAAACTATCACTCTTTACATTTTTTGTCTCTAGGATGATTAAAATTCAGCCCCATTATAATCAATTCCAAGAGACTATCCCATTTCTTACTATACTAGCATTTTATTACATATTATTACTTTAAATGATTGAGATTTTCAAAATATTTGGTTACACTGAAATTTCCACTGGCATAAGGTTTGTTAAAATGGGATTTGATCTATGGCAGCATACTCTCCCCTGACTGAAATGTAGTGGATGGCAGCTGCCAGTGGAAATATTCAGATACTTGCTTCTTTGATGCTTTCAGTTCTGGGAAGTCTCAGATGCAGGGGAACCACTTTTTTCCAGGGGAAAATAGATATCAGCTTATCATCATCTATATTTAGTGTATTCTTAGTCACTGGATTCTTATATGTACAAGGGAAGGCATCTGCCTTAGAAGTCTCAAAATCCATTGGAGGTATGAACAAGTTAGAATGCTCCCCTTTCATGTGACCAACCGAAGTCCTGGGTAAAAGCTATTGCCACACAAGGAGACTCCAGTTAGAAAACTGAGGCCATTTTGACTACTATTTTATATTTAGCAGCTTCATTGAGATATAATTCACATACCATAAAGATTTACCTTTTTAAAATGTGTAATTCTGTAGTTTTTAGTCTATTTGCAAAGTTGTGCAACCATTACTACTATCTAATTTCAGAACATTTTCACCACCCCACAAAGAAAATCTATATACATCCGTCACTTCCCCCAGCTCCTGGTGACCACCAATCTGCTTTCTGTCTCTACAGAACTACCTGTTCTAGACATTTCATATAAATTGAATCATATACTATCTGGTCTTTTATGTCTGGTTTCTTTCACTTAGTAATGTTTTCAAGGTTTGTCTGCATTGTAGTATGTGTCACTACTTCATTGCTTTTATGTCTGAATAATATTCCATTGTATGAATGTGGTAACATTTGGTTTACCCATTCATTGGTTGATGGGCACTGAGCTGTTTCCAGTTTCCGGCAATTATGAATAATGCTGCTATGAACATTCATGTGCAAGTTTTTCACCAGCATTATGTTTTCATTTCTCTTGGTATATACCTAAGAGATGAACTGCTGGGCCATATGGTAACTCTATGTTTAACTTCTGAGGAACTGCCAAACTGTATTCCAAAGAAGCTGTACTAATTTACATTCCCACAAGCAGTGTATGTTGGTTCTAATTTCTCCATATCCTCAGCAATACTTGTTATTATCTTTTTGATTACAGTCATCCTAGTGGGTGTGAAGTGGCATTTCTTTGTGCTTTTGATTTGCATTTCTCTGAAGGCTAATGCTGTGGAACATCTTTTCATGTGCTTGTTAATCATTTGTACATCATATTTGGAGAAATATCTATTCAGATCCCTTGCCCATTTTAAAATTGGGTAATTTGATTTCTTTGTCTCTTAAGTGTCTTCCATAGAATTTTTTTCAAACTGAGAATTTTATAATAGCTATTCATCACACATAGTTATGTTTCTGTAGTCTTTTGACATACATTACTTTTATTAAATAGGTGCCAGACCAACTGTTTAATAGAAAGTTCTCATATTCTGGCTGGGTGTGATGGGTCATGCCTGTAATGGCAGCACTTTGGGAGGCAGAAGCAGGAGGACTGATTGAGGCCAGGAATTTGAGACCAGCATGGGTAACATGATGAGGCCCTGTCTTTTTTAAATATTAAAAAATAGGCAAAAAGAAAGTTCTCACTTTCTGAATTTGTCTGATGGGAGTGTAGTCTAATTTCTTTCTCTAACTCCTATATTTTTAGAAAACTAGAAGTCAGACTTGATTGGTTCTGCCAGGCCTCAGAAAGTAAAAATAAAATAAAACAAATACTTGATTGGATTAGGTTTAACACTTTTGGCAAGAATCCCTCATAATTTATGCTGTGCAATGTTAGTTTGTCTCATACTTTTTGATGCTAAATTTGATTACTTAGTTAAAATGGTGTATCAGTAAGGGTTCTTCAGGGAAACAGAACCAATAGAGAGAGAGGGAGAGAGAGAGAGAGAGAGAGAGAGAGTGTGTGTATATGTGTGTGTGTGTGTGTGGCAGAGTCGGGCAGAGGGCAGAGAGAGAAACAGAAAGAGAAAGAGAGAGAGCGAGCTTGAGATTTATTTTAACCAACTGGCTCACATGCTTGTAGAGGCTTGTTAAATTTAAAATCTGCAGGGTAGACTGGACGTCTAGAGATTCAGGGAAGAAATATAGTTTGAGTCCAAAGACAATCTGCTGGCAAAATTCCTTTTTGCTCAGAGGAGGTCAGTCTTTGTTCTAGTAAGGCTTTCAACTGATTAGATAAAGCAGACTCACATTTTGGAGGACATGATTAGCTTTACTCGAAGTCCACTTATGTAAATGTTAATTTTATCCTAAAAACACCTTAACAGCAATGTCCAGGATAATGTTTGACCAAACATCTGGGCACTGTGGCACAGCCAAGTTGACACACAAAATTAGCCATCACAGATCATGACTACCTGATTTCTCCGTTTTAAAGCTCTGCTTTTACCTTTGCAATTAGCAAGATACCTGTTTTTATTTTCTCCTTTACTGCTGAAATCTGGTAGTGTCAATCTCCCAATTTTGTTATTAGTAAAGATTTTTTGGCTGTTATATGAGTTCTTTGCATGTTTGCACAAATTTTAGAAGCAACTGATCCACTGCTACAAAAATGCCTGTTGGGTTTCTGACTGGGACTGTGTCAAGTCTGTAGATCAGTTCTGTAAGAACAGTCTTTCCAAATGATGAAAACAGCTCCATTATTTTGATCTTCTTTAATTTCTTTCAGCAATGTTTTTGTAGTTTTTTTGTATATAGCTGTTGTGCCTCTTTATAATGTTTATTTCTAAGGTTTTTAGGCTTCTTGGTGTATTCAGAAAAGATTTTAAATTTTTAAAAAATTTCATTTGCCTATTGTTTACTGCTTATAGTAAAGAAATACAATTACTGACCGACCTGTATTTTGTGAACCCACTATATTAATTTCTTTGTTATAATAGCTTTTTTGTAGATACTTCGGGATCCTTTCTTTATTTTTATTTTTTTCTGGGACAGGGTTTCCCTTCATCACCCAGGCTGGAGTACAGTAGTGTCATCACAGCTCACTGCAGCCTCAGCCTCTTGGGATCAAGTGACCCTCCCATCTCAGCCTCCTGAGTAGCTGGGACTACAAGCGTGAGCCACCACGCCTCGCTAATTTTTGTACTTTCTGGTAGAGACAAGGTTTTGCCATGTTGCCCACGCTGGTCTCAAACTCCTGAGCTTAAGCAATCTGCCTGCCTCAGCCTCACAAAGTGGTAGGATTATAGGAGTGAGCCACCGTGCCAGGCCAGGATTTTCTGTATAAATAATCATGCCATTTGCAAATAAGAATGTTATACTTCTTTCTTTGCAATCTTTTTGCCTTCTATTTATTTTCCTGACTATTATCCTGGCTAGGACATCTATTACTTAAATGAATAAACAGAGTGTGAATATCCTTGCCTTGTTTCCAATCTTAAGGGAGAAGCCTTCGATATTTAAGTATGATGCTAGCTTGAGGTTTTTTATAGATCTTCATCAGAATGAGAAAGTTTCCTTCTAAATCCTAACCTACTAATCTTTTTAAAAAAACTGAGTGAATATTATTTTTTTCACTGTCAGTATTCATTGAGTAGATATTATTAAGGTGGAAACTGAAATCATTGATTTTTAAATCTTCTTTTTGAAAAGTAAGCATTCAAACCTATGAATTTTCCTTTAAGCAGTGCTTTAATGGCATCTTACAAATTTTGATATATTGTATTTTCATTATTGTTCAGTTAAAATATTTTCTAATTTCCTTTGTGAGTTCTTTGATCCAAGGATTACTAACAAGTCTTCTTTAATTTTCAAACATGTATGGGTTTTCCAGGTGTCTGTTACTGATTCCTATTTTACATACTCTGTAGGGGCTGGGCACAGTGGCTCTCATATGTAATCCCAGCGTTTTGGGATGGGGGAGGATCACTTGAGGCCAAGAGTTTGAAACCACCCTGGGCAGCAAAGCAAAAAGTTTGTCTCTATTAGACAACAAAAACAAAACCCCCATACTCTATGTGATTCCAATCCTTGGTAGGATTTCAATCCTTTGTATTTATTGAGACTTGCTTTATGAACCAGAGTATAATGTATCTTGGTGAACAGAGTTTAGTATAATCATGTATCCTTGCAAAGATTATGTATTGCAGGGGTCCTCAACCCCTGGAGTCAAACACCAGTACTGCTCCATGGCCTGTTAGGAACCGGGCTGCACAGCAGGAGGTGGATGACAGGCCAGTGAGCTAAGCTTCATCCGTATTTACAGCCACTCCTTATTGCTCACATCTGATAGCCTGAGCTATCAGATCAGTGGTGGCCTTAGATTCTGATAAGAGGGTGAGACCTATTGTGAACTGCACATGCGAGAGATCTAGGTTGCATGCTCTTTATGATAATCTAATGCCTGATGATCTGCCACTGTCTCCCAACATCCCCAGATGAGAATGTCCAGTTGCAGGAAAACAACCTCAGGGCTCCCACTGATTCTACAATACAATGAGTTGCATAATTACTTCATTATATATTATAAAGTAATAATATTAGAAATAAAGTACACAATAAACATAATATGCTCGAATCATCCCGAAACCATCCCCTGGCTCCTGCCTGTGAAAAACTGTCTTCCATGAAACTGGCCCCTGGTGCCAAAAACGCTGGGGGCTGCTGATGTACAGTTTATAGCTGTTTAGAGAGGCTTGATTTTTATACATTTTTAGGGTTAAGTCTGTTTTTTGCTTTAGGTCTTAGTTACAGTAAATTCCTAATTCCTGGGATATAGTCTCTATTCCTAAGAAGTAGTCCTTCTGCAATTTTAGTGGCAAGGTTCAAGGTCTTTACCAAGCCTCTCTAACTTGATGAAGCTCATACTCCAAACTCTGTCTCTCCTTGACAGCCAGCGGCCAAAATTTCTTCTCAGCCTTGCGGCTTTCAGCTGGCTGTTACTTCTCCGTTGAGCTCCCTGGAATCTTTCCTACACATCGATGGTTCCAGAGTCAACCAAGAATTTGAGGTGAGTTTATATGTAGATTTTGGGGTTCCCTTTCTGTGTTCTCTCCTTTCTTAGACATCCCTCTTATTTTCTAATCTCTCTGACCTCTGACCCCTTAAGTCAGTAAGAGTGGCTTTTTGTTTTGAGTTCTATATAGCTGCCTATGCCACATGACTAGAAAGTAGGTGGAAGAAAGGCTATATAAATGTGATCTCACCCAGTGTGATTTCCTTCTTTTAAGGGTTGACTTCCCTGTAGTTTCTGCCTGTTTTTGGTTGCTCTACCAGGGCTTCAAATACATTTTTTCATATTTTATCAAGGGTTTATAATTGTTAACACAGGAAGAATAGTATAATACAACTTGTTTTGCCATGACCAAAGTCATAATCCAATGTCTTTGAAAAAAAATAGGTTTTAATTTACTGAGGCAAAATTCATATAACATAAAACCACTTTAAAGTGAACAATTCAGTCTTGCTTAGTATATTCACAATGCTATGCAACTATACCACCTCAATCTAGTTCCACATTTCCATAATCTAAAATAAAACCCATATAAATTACTTCAAAATTTAAAAATTCTTAATTTTTGACTTTATATTTGTATGCCATATCTATTCATGAAAGTCTTAGTTTCTAATACTATGAACATACTCATTTGCTTGATGCTGCAATATATATAAAACAGCTTTTATGAAGCTCCTGGAAGAGGCTTTAACTCGGATGCGCCCTCCTCCAGGAACCAGTGGGCCGAGGTGGTCAGATTGCTTTGAGCTCAGGACCAGCCTGGGCAACATGACAAAATTCTATCTTTACAAAAAATAAATTAAAAAAAATAGCCAGGGGTTAGTGGCTCTCTCCTGGAGTCCCAGCTACTTGGGAGGCTGAGGCTGGAGAATTACTTGAGCCCAGGAAGCAGAGGTTGCAGTGAGCCAAGATAGCGCCACTGCATTCCAGCCTGGGTGNAAAAAAAAAAAAAAAGAAAAGAAAAAGAAATGAATAAATACATATAAAAAGAAAATGTATACAAAAAAGTTACCTTATTCAGAGATACAACTAAGAAAAAGGAAATAAATCTCAAAGTAAAATATAAATTAAGCACGAGTAATCCACTGGTTTTGCATTATTTATGTCATTGTTGTGATTGGAACATCAGGCTATGCACTTTACATATGTTACTGCATTTAAATCTTAAAACACCAAAGTAAGTGTCATTACTCCATTTTGGATGGAGACCTAGAGGATAAGTACCTGTCTGCTGGCCTTAACTATCCATGATGTCCTTGTTCCCTGTTTGCGCAAAGATGCAGGCTTCAGCCAGCAGTCATCATTCTGCCTTGTGACTCTCCTGGTTATAGGAGATGAGGAGTGAATACCTGATGCCAGCTGGTCCAATTTTTTTTCTTTGATTTGGAATTGGGTTTCAGAGATGGTGAATTAATCCTTGCATATGTCTGGAATGGTAACACCTGGCAGTTGTGTGGTACTTATTTTCTGCCTTGGAGATATAGTATCAGAGTTCATAATAAAAGAAGAATGAAGTACATATATAGGGAAAATGTATGGACAAGAAAAGGACACTTCAGTTCCAAGTACTAAGCCCTCCCTAGAGTTTGGCTTCCCTGGGCCACTCTGCAACAACCCTGTATTTTATTAAAAATTTTCCTTTTTTGGTCAAGTGAGTTCAAGTTGGTTTCTTTTTTTTTTGAGATGAAGCTTGCTCTTGTCGCCCAGGCTGGAGTGCAATGACACTGCGATCTCGGCTCACTGCAACCTCTGCCTCTTGGGTTCAAACAATTTTCCTGCCTCAGTTTCCCAAGTAGCTGGAATTACAGGCACGCAACCCCACACCCAGCTAATTTTTGTATTTTTAGTAAAAATGGGGTTTTACCACGTTGGCCAGGCTGGTCTTGAATTCCTGACCTCAGGTGATCCACCCACCTCAGCCTCCCAAAGTGCTGGGATTACAGATGCGAGCCACCACGCCTGGCCAAGTTGATTTCTAATGTAACCAAAAGAACCTATACTACAGCTCCCCTCCCTAACATGATAAGCGAAAGTTTTATGTAGAAATTTTTGTGATAATTTTAGAGTTAGAAGATCACAATACTCTTGCAGAAGCTGCGGAGAGTATTTCCATCTCTCCCTTCATTTCACAAGATAAATAAATCAAACCCAGAGAAATAAAAGCCATTTTCAAAGGCCACTTAGTTAGCTGGTGGCAAAACTGGAACCAGTTTTCCTTATTGTTCTTTACTGATTTATTGTGACTAATTATATGGCCAGATTCAATCCATAACATTAATAATGCACCATGAAACAAATACTTACATTTTGAAAAGAGGCACAAACCATTCACACCCAGATACAATTAGCTTTCTGTTTTTGACAACACCATTCCTTCTCAAACCAGATGTTCTTAGTTTTATAAAGAGGATTCTACTTGCGAGGTTGGTGGTTTGGAACATGGAAGACATTTTCTCACAAAACAGTATCAAAGGTGGCGATTAGGTTCCCAAGCTCGCCTCTCTAAACCCTATTTAGAGAGGGAATTCTGAGGGAAAACACACTCTGTGCAAGAAGGGGCATTTCAAGAAGTAGCTGGGTAATCTTAGACAAGTCACTTAATCTCTCTAAGCTCAGTAACAACAACTAGAAAAACATGGCGATTATTTAGACTCATGGAACTTCTGGTTTGACAAGAACCTAAAGGTCTACTTTTAATTTCTAAGATACTGTTATGAAAATTTAAAATGTGCTGAAAAATGAGTACAACAAACATCTATAATCCCAACACCTAGATTCAGCAACTGTTAACAATTTGCCATATTTGCTTTATTTGTCTTTTTAAAAACCATGTGAAAGTTAAGTTGAAAACCTGACACTTGACTCTTTAAATATTTCAGCATGCATGTCCTAAGACTAAGGGCATATTCTTACATAAAAAGTGTTAGTAAACTTTTTCAGTAAAGAGGCAGACATTAAATGTTTCAGTCCATACAGTTGCAACTACTCAACTATGTATTTGTGGATGGAAACAGGCATAGATATTATGCAAACAAATGAGCATGGTCATTTTCCAATAAAACTTTATTTATAAAAATAGACATTTGGCCCTCAGGATATATAGGTTGCTGACCCCTGCTATGTAACAATACTGTTATCACAACTAAAGTTAACAAAAATTCCCTAATATTATACAATTACTCCATATTCAAATTTTTGTAGCAGTCCCCAAATCTATGTTGCGGGTTTTTTTAAGAAAGGGTCTTACTGTTGCTTAGGCTGGAGTGCAATAGCTCACTGCAACCTTGAACTTCTGGGCTCAAACAATCCTCCAGTCTCTCAGCCTCCCGAGTAGCTGGGACTACAGGTGCAAACCACCACACCTGGCTAATTTTTACACTTTTTGTAAAGATAAGGTTTCACTATGTTGCCCAGGCTGGTCTCAAACTCCTGGACTCAAGCGATCCTCCCGCCTTGGCCTCCCAAAGTGCTAGGATTATAGGCATGAGCCACTGCACCCAGCTATGTTTTTTTTTTTTTAACCCAGTCAAAATTCACACCATGAATCTAAGACTCCTTTGGAGAGCCTAATGATTCTATTCTTTTGTTTGCCTTTCTAACAGCTAAGCTCTTGGGTGCTTGGGCCTTAACAATAACAAAGGAGAGACAACACCATGAGAAATAATGTCTGGTAACTCTGAACAGCAGGCTTCGCATTAATGTACTGCATTTAAATCTTAAAATAACCTAAAAGAGGTAAAAAATGATTGCACCCTGTTGAAACTTAAGCTTGAACATATGGAATGGTAGTATCTATCAATTGTGTATCAATATATCAGTATCCACTCTATGTACTATCAATATACTATACAAAGTCAAATGTGTACCAATTGCAACATCAACTCTATTAATTAAAAACCAAGAAATTCATTAAAAAAAAGAGTTATACTTATTCAAACAAGGGATCTAGTACTTACCTAGAAATAGAACAATCAATAGGATGATAATGGTAAGGAAAGCCTTGTTCCAAAAAGTTGCAATTTTACCCCAGACATTAAATGAAAAAATCTTCTGCCATCTGTAAAGCAATAAAATTACGCTAGGTATTAAAAAAGCAAAATAAAGTTTTGAAATACTTTCTAAATACTGAAGTAACATTTTGGTAATTGTGTAGCAAGTGAAAAGAATTACAGAAATTTAATTTTAAAATTTATTAATTCTGACATGACATAGAATACCTCATGAATTAAAAAACAACTCTTTCAAATTTAATAATAACCTAATATTTAATTATCCTCTGTCTGGTGGCTTAAATATTCTAAAAGTAAACATACATGAACAAAACCTTAAAACAGAATTCTGGCAGTAGTAAAATGTTATATTGTTGATAGAAGCTATTACTCTGTATCTTTTTCATGGTCAGAGCAATGACCTAGAAATAATGAAGATACATTGTTCTAACAATTGGCAACATTTCAGGTGTGGGGTCTAACTCTGCACATTGATTTTTATACAGCACGCTTTTTTTTTTTTTTTTGAGACTGAGTCCGCTCTGTCGCCTAGGCTGGAGTGCAGTGGCACGATTTCAGCTCACTGCAACCTCCGCTTCCCGGCTTCAAGCGATTCTCCTGCCTCAGCCTCCTGAGTAGCTGGGACTATAGGCATGTGCCACCACTCCCGGCTAATTTTTGTATTTGTATTTTTAGTAGATACAGGATTTCAGGATGGCCTTGAACTCCTGACCTCATGATCCACCCACCTCTGCCTCCCAAAGTGCTGGGATTATAGGCATGAGTCACTGCACCTGGCCTACATAGTACACTTTTAACATATACTCCAAGTAAAAGTTTCTCTACTTTAACCATGAGGGAGTTAAAAAAATTACCCAGTAATTATATACAAAAATTGAAAAAAATCTTAAATATGTAGTTTGATAACATTCACACACATGACACACATATATAAAACCATGTAATTACTACAGGTATAAGATGTAAACATAGAGGATATGAGATGGGGAAATAAACAGCCTAGATAGATTGAACAGTACAAGCAAAGACAGTGGTAAGAAAGTATGGGTTGTAATGGCAGAGTAACAATCCATCACACAAAAGGAAAGGTAACAGACTTTGTACAAGGGCAATTTAAATGAGTAAAATTTTAGTAAAAGGAGACAAAAAAAATGTAATAAGCACTTCAATACACTTCATGAGCTACAACTTGAAAAAAAAGTTTCACTTTAAGATTAGGACAAATTATTAACTAATAAACTTTGAAAACAACTTTAACTACTTGACATTGGTGAGGAGTGGGAGATTCATACAGATGTACTGGTTCCTTTTGTGTCTGCTTCCAATTCCAAGCTTTTTATATAGACAACATATAAATTATGCAATATAAAACTTTTATATTATTAAGAGAACATAAGTGGTAATATCTTCATCTACGTCCAAATGTACATTTACTTATTTCTTCAAGGTTTAGTGTAGTGTAAAAGGGCACATAAGAGACCTCCCGTAGGGAACAACTTAAAGTGCTCCATAGGGAGCACTTATCATAGATAATATATATTGTGTTCTCACTACATTATGGTTCTAAGTACTTTTGCATGTTTTCTCTCATTTAATTACAACAACTACCATATGAAGTAGACACTAGTACTACCTCCATTTTACAGATTGGGAAACAGATCAGAGAAGATCAAGAGCATGCCCAGGGTTAGTAACATACAGTTATAGGTGACCTGATTTCTGAGCATGTGCTTTCAACCATTGGGTTATGTAAGAGAAGAACAGAGACTAAATGATGAAATATTTTCTTTAAAGATTATGGTGACACACACATAAAAGATAAAAAGATATCGATAGACACATAGTAAGGACATATTGTAAATGATCTGTGTGCATACATACCGTATTTTCTTTATATTTGTACATGAGAGTATATTTATATATCGTGCATACATACGCACATCTATCTAATAGCTACTTTATCAGGATAGGTAAAATTTTTATATGGCAGGAAGAAAAATATTGATCCATAACTTATAGACCACTTTGATGGAGAAAAGATCAACTAACAATTTTTTCTTCTTTGCAAACCCTTAAGCCTTATCTATAAATTAGATGTTTATAAACAAGATCTTTCTTTCTCTTGAATATATAGGATTCTATCATTGCAAATATTACCAAAAGGCAAAACAGGGTTTTATTGAGTTTGAAACAAAACCTACAGGATGAGAGGCAGCATGATGGAGTAGAAAGAATACTAGACTAAGAGCCAGATTTTTGTCCAGAATCTGTCACTTACCAGCTGGGTAACCTTGGCTACTTGCCCTCCTGGGTCTCAGTACGTGATCTATAGAACACGGGTGGTATAGATCAAATATCATAGACCCTACAGTATGATTCAACTTTTTTCTTCAGTAAGAAAAAAACGTACTGAGCTTAACTTAGCTGATAGACAAGGACAGAAGAGAGCAGAAATCCAGGCAGGTAAGGAGCAAGTTAGGAGTTGTGAAAGACTATCTGGACCCTGAGCTAAGGTAAAACTTTAAGAAGTTTCTCCCAGTCCTGGGATTTTACTATACTTTAGTGGGTTATCTCTAGAATCTCATCTATGAAAGATTTTCTTTTATGCCAGGAGTATGAACTGGCAAAATGTCTTGCAACATTTTTATTACATGTGTATTTCCCCATTCATACTATCAAATTTCTGGGTCTAAAACCAAATGACTAAAAAGTGGATTATTACATGGGTAAAATGAGCCAGTGCTTGGCTAGAAATACTATACTTGGTTCTTAAAAACCTTAGAAGTTCTTTCACTAAAGAACCAACGCTAATACATGGCTGTGATACTTTACACATTCAACACTTTTAATATACATTCATTAATGTTATGAGAAATAAAAAGTAATAAAATTGTCATTAAACAGTAATGAAACTATTTCTTGGTTACATAGGCCAAAACTAAGAATAATTTATTGGCTTTGGTTTCTAAATTGCTGTTCCAGTGCCTCAATTAAACATTTTTACACCCATACAATACTGTAAACATGATTTATCCATTTATATTTATTTAGTTCATGGCTTCACAGCGCAACAAAAGAAAAGTGAAACCCGAGACAAGGCAGGACAGGTGTTAAATAATCGCTGCTGTATTATATCTGTAATCAACAGAATCAAAAGTACAGGCCCTTTTCCTTTTAGAAGGGAAGAAAAAGTTACTTCACTTGTACACATAACAGAGTTTTATATAAAATGTTATTTTAATATTGTCATTATATGCTACCTAATTTGTTAGGTGAGTTTATTTTCAAAGGCATTCGAAACTTTGTAATCTTCAGAAAACTTTTCCATTTTACATTACACAGTCTAAAGGAGTGATCCAATATTATAACTGTCAAGGATTTGAAGGTTTCCTACCTCTGAGGAGGAATAAAAGGTAGGCAGAAGATTAAAATGAGTCCTATTTCGGCATAAAGAAAGGTTGCCACTGCCGCCCATTGGAGTGTCATTTTTTTTCTTCACACCTAAATGGGGAAACACTTATTTTAATCTTGCTTCCGTTCAAACAAAACCGGGTTCGAGGCCCCGAGGCGCAGCGTTTTTGTTGAGGTGGTGGACTGTGTCCGACCTTCCCCCACCTGGGGAGGCCGGCACGGACCCCCGCCGGGAACGGGTAAAGGGTGGCCCGGGAAGCCTGTGGCGTCACCTCCCCGGGAGTCCTGTGGAACTGGCGAGGCGACCCGCTGGCCGCTGCCTCTTCCGCCAGCTTCCCGGCAACAGAAGCCCAACGCCTCCCTCCACCAACGCCCTGCTTCGCGGCCCTCCCGCTCCCGAAGGCGCCGCGGCCAGGGCCGGACCAGGCCAGTTCCGCTAGGTTCTCCAGACCAGGCAGCGGCGCTCTTCCTCCGCGGCCTAGCGCCCCACGGGTCCCCGGGTCGCGGCCGGCCTTACCCGCCGGCGGCCCACCTCGCTCCCCGCGCTCCTCCGCGGCCGCGGACGCTGCGGACGTCAGACGCAGCGGCCGGGCGCGGGACGGTAGACAGGGCCCCACCCCGCCTCCCGCCCGCGCTCCTGCCCGGGGCCTGTCCCGGCTGAGGTCACAGGCGGCTCGCCCACGTTTATTGGCAATTGTTTTCTAACTGGCGGCAGTCAAAGAAGGAGTCAGACTTTTGACCTGATGCTTGGGGGTCCTAGCGCAGCTTCTTCAAGAGGGCAGGCTTTCCGCTGCTAAGTGCGGCCGGCGTGGGAGGGCGCATCGCGGGGTCCAGGTCTAAGGAGCCGCGCCGGGCAACCGGGCTGGACTGGCCGGTGCAAATTCAGCGAACGCGCTTTAAGAAGCACTCATTTCCTGTCACATCCTCTCTCGGTGGTGGGAACTGTTTGTGTCCAGAATTAAGGAATATTTAATAAAGGGCCAGGATGAGGTGTCGTGCAGCATTTTGTTCTGGAGAAGGTAGGAGCAACTGTAGTATCACAACATACTCCGTAGGTGTTCTGTTCCCATCCGTGGGCTAGGAAGAGGCAGTAAACTTCAGGGTGGTGGTTGCGGACTGGCAGGGAAGTTGGTTATGCTGATATTCTTTCAATTACTATTTTTCAGCTTTTCACATTGTGCATATACATTTAAATTGTTGAGTTTTTTTCAATAGTGACAATGTATCAGGAATATAAGTACTATCCTGGTGACAATTATCTGGGGCATAGTAAACAAATGCTGAAAATAGATTATTATAGAATATAATGCATTCAAAAACACATTTAAGTTGGTGCTTTTTCCTAATTATCACAAATATTCTTGATCACATGTAACAAAAAAGTAGAAAAAAGACTTTGCACATAAATTAACCAAAAGGAAGGTACTTTTTTGTTTTTTTTGTTTTTGTTTTTTTTTTAGTTGGAGTCTCCCTCTTTCACCAAGGCTGGATTCTGGTGGCGCAATCTTGGCTCACTGCAGCCTCTGCCTCCCGGGTTCAAGCAATTCTCTCGCCCCAGCCTCCTGAATGGCTGGGATTACAGGGGCCTGCCATGACGCCTGGATAATTGTTGTATTTTTTAGTAGAGATGGGGTTTCACCATGTTGCCCAGACTGGTCTTGAACTCCTGGACTCCAGTGATCTGCCCGCCTTGGCCTACCAAAGTATTGGTATTACAGGTGTGAGGCACCGTGCCAGGAAGTTCCTTTTAATCAAATGTGTTAGAACTTCTTGCCCATCCACACTGGTTCCTTCCAAACACGGAACACATTACTCTAGGGATGATGCTGTGCTCACACCAGTAGGATAATTCAATTCAGAGTTCTGACCATACCTATTTTGTACAGTATTCATAGAAAATGAAAAAGCCAGTTATCTTTAAAAAAATGCATTAACTGAAAAGTGAAAAGAGTACCAAGGAAAAAAGATGGCACCACAGTGCTTATGTTAAAATGGATTCATTCAATATTCCCAAACGTGAATTAAAGTTTTACATAATTATTTCCTTGTAACAGTGGCAATATAGAATAATACTTTATGAACTGTTTTCAGTCTGAGATACTTAATTCTTGCAGTGCATGCCCGCTGATAACAAAATCTGTTAATAACACTCCCAAACCATGACTTTAAAGTCAATTGCTGGGAGGCATAAAATAACATCAAACACAGAATTTGAAAATTAGGTTTTAAAATTAAAAACAAAACCTAGTTACTATTCTCTAGGAAATATTTAAGTATATAATCATCTCCAGGTTGGCTACCAAATTTCTTATACTTAATATATGGTGGATTGCAGTTAATTTTATCTTTTTAGGTAGCAGTTATATTTATCAAGCTTTCACTCTTCGGAGGATCTAGAAGTTTTGAAATGTACCAAATGTAATGTCGTTAACCAATTGGAATTTTTAGTAAGTTCTGAGTGCAATTCTACTCAGAATTTTTTGTTCTTTTTCATTTTGGATGGATGTTGATATTTGGACCTGCATACTTTTTTGCAGGTGCACCACCTTTTTGCACCTGCATACTTCTTGTTAACTTACAGATACTATGAGCCATACTTAGTATTAAAATAATAAATTTTATTTAAAAATGTTAACATGAGAAAACATGACTCCTTTAGGAGAAAATTCCAACTCTACCCATCCCCCAAATATCTACATAACAGGATTCAGAACAGTATTTGTCAGTGTTTGCCTAGGATGATCAGGATGTTTGAACCACTGGGAGTTTTCTTTAAATTGTAAATTCTGGGTTTACTCCAGATCTACCAAATCAGAATCTATGAGGGAGGGGTGGGGTGCAGGACTGACTTTTACAAAATGCTCCCAGGGATTGTTTTTATACTAACATTTGAGAGCTACTTGTTTAAGGTGCAAAATATAATGTTCTGTTGTTTCACTATAGGTCTAGAAGTATATATTTAAATTATTTGGGAAGTCTAGTCAAATGCCATAATGGTCTGTAAGGTAATCTATGATTGCTGATGTGCTTGACAGAGCATTAAATACTCTTTTTTCCTGCCTTGAAGTTATCTTTTCCATCATGTACATTAAATGTTGGTGGAAACACATGTAAGGAGTCCCGAGTTCAAGAGCAATGTCAACCCAGTCCCAGATGCATTTCAGTGGGGTTTCCTCATATCCAGCAAACATGGCCGGGTTTGCTAAAAGTCCTCTTGCAACCATCACACCTACAAATTAAAACACACCATATTTGTCCATACATTAAGAACCCATGGTTATTAGTTCAAACTCAATGAAGCAAACAGAATATTATTTAAAAAGTATTATTACAAGGTTTTAAAATAACTTTATTACACTAGTATGTTTAATTCAATTACAAAAGAATTAAATTTGGTACCTTTTGTAAACCAGAAAAGCTTAAATGTACTTACTTATAGAAATCTTTATTTTTTAAAGATTTGTTCCTTAAACAATGGGTCTTTAGTTTTTCTTTAGGGTAAATCTAGATTGTCATAAATTGGGCTGCTTAAAGTTCAGTTTATCTGTATTCTCCCACCTAGCAATCATAGGGCTTGGCATGCCAATAATTTATGGCAATAGTGAAACTGCATAGCAGTTCTGGGGTTCATTTGGTTCTTAGCATTCTTGAGTTCACTTACTCTCATTTCTAGGTGCTTTATTTTACTAGTAGGCTATATGGAAAATTCTTCACTGGTCACTAGATATGATGGTGTCAGAAAAGTAACTGAATTAATCTATCCCAGTTAAGATAATCTGTATTTTTCTAGGTTGAAAAGTTAACATCATTTCAATAAATCACTTAGCTTAACTCAGCTCATTGGGAAAATATGGCTTAATGTTAAAGAAAATGAATAAAAATTGAATTAACATTACTTCCCCACTCTGATTTCTTCCCCTCAATTAAAAGACAAGAATCCAAGTACTTATTTCTTACCATCTGTCCCAGTAATCTGCCACACATTTTCTGCCTCCTTTAAGCTTCTGATATCTCCATTAGCAATTACAGGTATAGACATATTTTCTTTAATTATTTTAATGGAATCATAGTGCACTGGCTGATGTCTTTCTTCAACAGTTCTTCCATGGACTGTAATCCATGAAACTCCTGTTGCTTCAGCCTTTCGACAAAGATCTACAGTTCTTTTAAGGTCATCATGGATCCTACAATTTCAAAATTACATTAATCTGTTCACAGCATACAAATCTTAATGCTAACATTAACTGACTAAACTCATATTTTATCTGTTAAATTAGTTAGCTTTGCTATATTATATTATTACTCCATCATTATCAGCAAGGTTTTCTTTAGGGATCAGTTCCTGCCCAAGACCTCAAATTTAGCTGTCTCACTATTGACAACATAGGACAACAAAGAAGTTTTATCGTAGACCTAGTGCTTCTACGTTTTGGCTTTGATAAACAAAAGTGCCATCAAAGTATTGTCATAGATGAATTTAAACCTTAATATTTGCTGTGCATTCTCCCATCCCCAAAGGGAAGAACATAATATTTCATATTGAAATATGTTTTCAGGCTGGGCATGGTGGCTCACTCCTGTAATCCCAGCACTTTGAGAGGCTGAGGCAGGTGGATCACTTGAGTCCAGAAGTTCAAGACTGGCCTGACCAACATGGTGGAACATCCTATCTACTAAAAAATACAAAAATCAGTCACGTGTGGTGATGCACACCTGTAATCCCAGCTACTTGAGAGGCTGAGGCACGAGAATCACCTGAACCTGGCAGGCAGAGGTTGCAGTGAGCCAAGATCATGCCACTGCACTTTAGCCTGGGCAACAGAGTCAGACTCAAAAAAAGAAATATGTTTTCAACTTGTCATGGAAAAATCGATTCCAGGTTTTTCTTTTTATTGTGAAATTTTAGTGCAAATGTTTTTCCTATTTTCTACATGTGGCACCAGGAATGTTTCTTAACATTCATTAAATACTACATGGAAAAAGTAGAAAGTTTGGTGAAATTTACAATAAAGAGATGCTCTAATTTTTGTTAAAAGTACAAACACAAAGTTTTTTTTGAACTATAAATGAAAATTATAGTATATATTCTTTTACTAAATGTCTTATTTCAACATTTCTATACACCAGCAACAAATTTATTTAGGATAGACACTCCCAACAATATCAGACAAAAGGAATAATCTTTTATTTCCTAAGTAACGAATCATCTTATCAATAGATTGTAATATTATCTTTACCTTATTTTAATAGAAACTGAAAATCCAGGGTTTTCCACTTGATTTCTTACTTGTGTCACCATGTCTCGAACAAGCTCTGGCTTGTTTATTAAGCAAGCCCCATAACCTTCTGCCATTGCCCACCTTTATAAAGCAAACACAAGAACAAGTGAATTACAAATAACTGGAAGAGAAGACAAAATTCTGAAAGCACTGAAATGCAAGTGCATCCATTTTTCTAGTCATCTGGAATAGAAGCAGATTTAAAAAATTCATAGACCCAACATTCTAAGTGGATCAATATGAAAGTAGGAAAACATGTTCCCAGATCAAAAAGTACTTAAGAGAAATGGTTTTCAAGGGCAAGTGAGACTATTAAAAGTCATTCAAGCAAAACAGGTTTAAGTATTTGAAGTAATTAATTGCAATTATTTCAGATTTTAAAAATTCCAAATTTGATGTTTATTGTGCATAACAAGAAGTTTTATTAGTCTCAATAGTTGAAAGCTATTTTTGGCTTACAGCATTCCAATACCACTAAACAGCTTATTTAACTCTCCTAATGAGTATACAAATATGTCCAATCTGATTTGGATTACACTATACTTAACAATTTTGCTTTTATTCTTTG